TATCTTTTACACTGATGGTTCTCTTATTAATTTAGGAACTTGTGATGTTTCTATGGGATGGGGCTGGGTTCAAATTGTCAAAGATTCTGGCTTTCTTAATTCCATTGCCACTTATAAGCGGGGTATTATTCACGATTGGCCTTCTTCTTCTCGTGCCGAAGCTGCTGCTATTTATGCAGCTTTATCAGCTTCTCCTGCCAACTCCGTAGTCCACATTTATACAGATTCACAGTCTTCCATCGAGGGTTTAAAACATTGTTTTTTATCTGATTATTCAAATTCTCGTCTTTATTATAAGACTACCAACTTTGAACTTTGGGCCGTCATTCAACAACTGATTATGGATAAACAACTTTCAGTTTTACCTCATAAGGTTAAAGCTCACTCTAATTTTTATTGGAATGACTTCGCTGATTCTCTTGCCAATACTGCCCATACATCTGACGATGCTATTCTTATTTTCCGTCTCGACTTTGCCGCGGTTCATGATTATATTATGTCTTATGATGACGTTGTCTGTGAATCCAACCCAAGGCATCTGTTTAAACAATATCATCAGATGTTGTATATGAAAGACCTTTTAGCTCTTTCTCGTTTCCGTTTCACTTCTCTTTTAACAGATCCATCCCGATACGTGGTTGATTGGGCTCTTACCTGGCATATGTTAATGTTCCAGCCCAAATTTGATAATTCCTTTACTAAGGAAAATGTCTCTAGACATCACACGTTGAAATTTCAACTTTTTCTGGAAGATTTACCTACTTTAGAATCACTGAAAAGGACACGACCTGATTTATACGTAGAGATCCTGACCTGTCGTTCTTGTGAAGACCATTTAGAAGATTTTATGCATTTATTTTTATGCAAAAAGCGCTGCGTTAAATTACATCAAATTTTAACGTCATATCTCCACCACCTTACCCAAAAAATTAAAGAAGCGGGTGATAATGCCAATTGTGATTACTCTTCTTCAATTAATAGAGTTACTTCCCTTCCTTGCTGGATTTTTTCATCTAACAACTGGTCCTCTTATAGTCTCGTCCGTGGTTGTTTGCCTAACGCCTTTCTGGAAGTTTTTGTAAACTTAGGTATTCCTCACCTCACTGCTTTGAATGTGGTTGCCACCATACATAACAATTTTATCAACAAATTCCATAAACGAATTTGGAATCCGCGTTCGTATGATAAAGGTTTGTGGGAACATACGATGAACATTTCTTCAAAACTTAAACAATCTTCAAGGCCTAAAGGTTTGCCTAAATCTTCTTATTTACCCTACTCGTCTTTACCACCTCTGACCCATGTTGATTCACGTGACTCTAGAACCGATTGGTTAAAAAACTCGATGCAATATGGATTATATTGGTTTAATCACATTTCAGGTTTTATGGGTCATCTAACGGTGCTACTTAATAACTGCTTTTGCAGGATGGAGTGTCGATTTTAATAGTAGGCGTGTCATTCGTTATTTTGTTAGCATAGTTGCTTCTACTTTAGTTGGAATATATCAAGGGGGGAGATCTAGGAAGTGTTAGTATTAGCGAATTTTCTTTTGAATTTTCTTTTAATTTTAATTTCTTTCTAGGAGACTATATAGCTTTGTTTTTAGTTAGTTTTTATTTTATTTTCTTTTTCTTATATGTAATTTTGTAAAGTTTGATAAATAATTAATAAAGATAAAGGCTACTATGCCATGTTTGCTCGAAAGTGTGACTTATGACCTGTTTTGGAGATATCCGGGGTCCTCAGCAGCTATTCATAGAGGAACCTGTAAAACTCGAAAGTACAACTCAAGCTCAAATTACAATAGAAGGAAAAAAAGGTAAACAAGAGTACCTTTGCTTTATCATCTTGCGAAATCAAAACAACGTCTTGAGAAAAAGCTAATGCAAACGTTTTCACTCCTTTAACTGATGCCAGGCAATAATGTTCATCAACATGACTGTTCATTTCATTTCTCCTGACGGCTGCGAAATGGATCTGTGAAGGGTGATGATGACGTTGTGCCTCTTTTGTTGCTGGATGTCTGGGCTGCATGTAATTTTGCAACGTAGTTCTTGCAAGGTATATATTATAGTTTTCTTTCATTTTTTCACGAAGATGCTTAACTGTTCGTACTTTGATTGTTTCTTTTCGTCATTTATAATCAGCCGCTCCAAATTCAACACAATCATGCATCTTTTCCAAAAGATTAGGATCTTTAACAAAAAATGATGGGCGACCGGGAGCATCATATATTTCCACAACGTTTTCTTCCAATGCCGCCTTCTGCTTTTTTTTTCGTGTTCGTTGCTGAGCTGCTGCATTATCCCTTAATCGCTTGAGCTTCTTTTCTTCTACCGTTACGGTCTCTTCCAATTTTTTAATTTTTAAAGTGAAACTTGAACGAAGTTCCGGTGTAGATGCTGCTCGTAGCAGATTATTGTATTTGCATAGATCGTTCTTGACTTTTTGAAGATTTTCAAGTAGATGATTTTGTGCCGTTGCATTTGATTTAAGTTGTATATTATTAGAAGGTTCAGGAAGATTATTTATAGGCGTCAAAGATGGTCTCGTCAAAGGTGGTCTTAGAGGTTCTACAGTTTTTTTTTGCGAAATAAAAGGGTAGGGTGAGGGTTGAATAGGAGTATGTAATAATTCAAAAATAATGTTTTGAATGGTATCTTTATCTTTCATCTTAATTTTACGCCAGTTATCTTGAGCTTGTAGTTGCAGCTCTCTTTTGTTTGGTGCTTTATTATGACTTTTTACCATTTCTGAGAATGCAAAAGCATTCACGTATTGTTTATAAAGATTTCCAGGTTTTTGAATAAGGTAGTTTTTAGAATATGTTAATTCTTTAAAATACGTTTGCTTCATACCGCCTACGAAAAATTACATTTTTGATTTTTTTGGATGTAAATTTTTTAAGATAAAACCTCTTAATATATATGCCGAAGCATATGAAGCAGATGAAATTGTATCACCAATCTATCGTATTGTCATCTTTCCTAAAATGGAAATAAAGATCTTGTGTAACATCATCCTGCGCCCTCCCCCTCCCCTAATTAGTTCCCACATAATCATACCAAAACTATATATTACTGAAGCTTTAGTATATTTTCATCCTCTAAGGACCGCCATAAATCTCATTATTATCATCTAATGATTCAATTGCTGCTGTTATTGATGGATAGAAATTATAGATAAAAATTATGGATTAAAATATTTCCACTATGATAATCTTTGTGAATAATATTTGCATCATGTATGTTTTTAAGTCCAAAGATGTTATATCTTGCAAAATTGTAAAATTTTTGGTAAGAGGATTTTAAGTAATACCACAATAAGTGTTGATATTAATTAAAATGGAATATTGCCTACGATATGTTGATATCTGATATATCGCATCCTATATTAATTATGAATTATGTCGATCATTTTGATCACATGACTTCGTTAAGAATTTTCCATTATTAAAAAAATCCTGGCGTGAGACCGGCATATATTAGTATGTTGCAATTATTAATAGTATATCCGTGTAATACAACTATAAATAATATTGATAATCAAAAAATTTTTTCATATTGAACCTTTACTTTCTTTTTCAATTTCAAATTATGGATAACAATTTTATTAATGAATATAAATAAAGTTTCCATTTATTGGTTGTAGAGGACAAAGATTGGATAAAGAAAGATTTAATGCCATTAAAATTCATAAAACATACAATATATATACCCAATAGAGGGCGTGACAAAGGACCCATAACTCGCAATGTTCAGTCTAACAAATGTAAAGGTAATTAAAAATTATGACTTTATTTAATTATGATTTATTTTATTAATTTTTTTTATAAATTAGCTAATACACAGGTTAAAAATCGAACGTTACAAAATCAACTGTGAAATGTAGACGCGTAAATTCTAACAAGAAAACTAAAACAACTGTCACAATTTCTGATTCCGATGATAATTGTGATGATAATAATAATAAAGAAAATTTAAACTTAAATTTCAATGAGCTTAAATATCGAGAGGGAACTAGCTTTAAAAGAACGTGAAATTTTATTAAGAGAACATGAAGCAAAAGTTTGTGTAATGGAACTGTCCAACCTTGAGAAGGAGCAGGAGTTAAAGTTACATTAGAAGTTTAGAATAGTTTCATTGAAATTAGAATAGCTTTATCAATAGTAAATTATAAAAGTAAAAATTTGCATTAATTAAATAAAAATGAAATCTGCATTTTATACTAATTACTCTTTAAATTAATTAATATAATACATGTTTTAAATGTAAATTTCATTCATTATACTCAACATCAGTTATTACGTCATACAATACTCAATAGACAACCCATACTATATTACTATTCGTCTTACCTCATGAGACCTTATGCACTTACTATGTATTGTAAGAAACCTTATATAACTATGCATATTTTTGACTGCTCTACAAGTTTTCTTAATATATCAAAAAGGATTTAGAATGTCATTTTTGACTTTTATATGCAACATATTATAGGGTGCGAGATAACGTAGGTGCGATAAAAAACAAAACTCATGATTAGTGCTCCTAATGGGTCGGGTTAGGTCGGGTTTGAGAGATATTTGAATTCGATTCAAATATTCATGTAATTTGACTTGAAAATTCGGATTGATCAACTGTGTAATCCAAACTTAATTTGACCTGACTATAGTTTAACCCGGATAACCCAGGTCAAACTCGAATTTATATTAATTTATGATCATAAAAATTAATTGTCAAATTATACAAATTAATTTATGAAAAATTTAACAATTTTTGTAATTTTTATTATAACAATGTTTATTTATTCAATTAATATAAAATTCAGTTTAATTTCTTTGATTTTTCACGCCCACCAAGATTTTAAACACATACATGCATGAATAGTTTGTGTTTTAAGGCTGCATCTTTTTGTTGCCAGTAGATCAGCTCCACCAGAAAAAATTCATTCTACTGGAACACTCGTAGCTTTAATGAAATTAGATTATTAGTTAAATGATAAATAATATTATCAATAATTGCATACAATAAGCTTATTTACCTGTAATAGCCAGATAATCCCTTCCCATTTTGGCTAAGTTTGGAAATGTCGCTTTATGTGTCTAATAATAATACTATACACGTTAATTGAACTAATAATTTAAAAAATTATACAATTTATTATTAAATACACACCTTCCACCAAAGAAGAATATCTTCTTTTCGTAATGTTCGAGGAGTTTTTAGATATAATTCCACTTCATTTTCCTGATTTTTTTTTTGCTTACCAAAAAGTTGATCAAGAAATTCATCATTTTCATCATCATTAATATCTTCTAAGTGCCCATCAGTGGCGGAAGGTGCATAATTTGCATTGTATATGCTAAGAACAGTTTCTTTAGCATAACGTATAAAACTATGCTTCCATTTATTGTCTTCATAGTAATTTAGCTTCAACCGTGGATCAAGTACTATAAAATTTAATTATTGACATTATAAATTTATAATACAATTCAGTTAAAAAATGAATCATAATTTTAATGCCTAACTCACCAGTAGCAACAGTATACATATTTGTATCATCTGTTTTAGTATAATATGTATCTAATTTATTGATGCCTACTTTAACAGCATTTGCTATATCACTATAATTTGACTTATCACAATAACTTTCAAGTTTATCAATTAAAAAATTGTATATTGGTATAGTAGTAGAAAGTATGGGATACTTTGCAGAAGAAACTACCTTGGTGGCTCGTATAAATACCTATAATAAAGTTCTGAATGTTAACTTTCAAATAATTTTAGTAAATTACTAGGAAATTATTATTTCTTACTTTTAAAACAGACATGATTTCTTTAATTGTATTCCATTCATTTTCATTGAGTTCAAAAATTCGAAGATCTTTATCTGAACTTGCAGTTGCATCCAGTGCCTGTATAAATAGCATTATAATAAATATTAAAATATAATAAAACAAAAATAATTAATATTAATAATATTTGTATATACTAACTTCACGCATTTCTAATGCTCGTTCTAGCATATCATGTGTAGAATTCCACCAGGTTCTTATATCAAGAATAAGGTTGAGCCCCTTAAGATCAGCCGCTTCAGCTTGTCGCGCAAATCTTTCCTTATACTGTGGTGATGACCGAATTTTAACAATAAGCTTACGAAGCTAAATGTTGAATAATAGAATAAAAATCAATATATAATACAATTCATTATAAACCACCTATTTTAAATAATAAATTTACCTTTGGAATTATTTCCCCAGCAGGTATAGTTTCATCTATATTATCCAATATAAAATCTTCAGTCTGGGCTTCACCTGCTTTGATTTGTTTTAAAATATCTTGTACAACTATATTCATAATATGAGCAATACAACTAAAGCTCTGAACGGTTCCGGTTTGAACCGAGAACCGATCCGGAACCGGCAAAAAATTCGGTTCGGTTCTCGGTTCGGTTTTGGACTTAGAACCGTCCAGTTCGGTTCGGTTCTATCTGAAATTAAGAAAAAATGCGAAAAAACGAATATACGACTATCCAGTGATCGTACAAGGACGAGCCATAGCTCGTTGGAATCCTCTCATCGAGACGCGTCGAATGGTGGTAAAATCAAGTCTCTAGCATCGATAGATCACGAGATAGAACATGGTGAGTGTTTCTTAAAAAATTTGCATTAGAAAACGATCCGTTGATGCTAGAGACATGAATTTACCACCATTCGACGCATCTCGACGATACGAATCTAATGAGCTATAATTCGTCCTTTTACAATCACTGGATGGTCGTGTATTCGTTTTTTCGCATTTTTTTTTAAATTTTCAAACATCAAAAATTAAAATTCCGATACAAGCGATTAAACGCCATCTATTGATCACACAAAGACGAATTATAGCTCATTAGGTTCGTCTCACTGAGACGAGTCGAATGGTGGTAAATTCATGTCTCTAGCATCAATGGATCATTTTCTAATGCAAATTTTTTAAGAAACACTCATCATATGCTATCTCGTGATCTATCGATGCTAGAGACTTGATTTTACCACCATTCGACGCGTCTCGATGAGAGGATTCCAACGAGCTATGGCTCGTCCTTGTACGATTACTGGATGGTCGTGTATTCATTTTTTCGCATTTTTCTTAATTTCGGATAGAACCGAACTGAACCGGACAGTTTCGGTTCGGTTCCATTTTGGTTTTCGGTTCTACCCGAACCGCAAAAAAACCGAACCGAACTGACCCGTTCAGAGCTTTAAATACAACGACAATGGGAATCAATAGCATCAAAAGAAATACTTTCATTTTGACAAACATTTTCCAAATGTTTCATAAAAGTATCATTATTTGAAGCATTGTCGCTTGTAATCACAAAAACCTGAAAATAGTAAACAATTTTATTAATATCATGCTCATTTTAAGCAAAAAAAATCATATTAGGATAATAGGAAATTTACCTTTTTTAAAACTCCAAATTCTTGGCAGCTTTTTACGAAAGCATTACAAAGGTTTTCACCAGAATGAGGACCAGAAAGATCTATAAAATCAAGTAAACTGTCTTGAAGTACCCAATCTTTTGTAATCCAATGCATTGTAATGGCTAAAAATCCATAACCATTTGTGGATGTCCATGTATCTAGAGCAAATGAAATTTTCCCTGGAATACTCTATTAAAATTCATTGCAAATATATATATAAGTTTTAAGAACAAAAATTATTTTCGTGCATATTTAAAAACTTACTTGAAACAAACTTTTTCTTATTTCTTGCTCTTTAACAAAATTTTCCATAATATCCTTTTTTATTGTGTCTGCTTTTGGAACCACTGCATTTGGATTTAATACTTTCACCATGTGCCAAAATTGCTGATTTTCAGGTGTTGTGAATGGCTGATCGTCAGCAACTATCCATTTAGTAATAGAAGTACGAAATTCTGCTTGTGTAAACTACACTTGAGAATAATTAATAGAAGTAAAAATAATTAATAAATATTATAAATATTATAAATATTGAAGCTTACTAG